AAGAAAAGGAACAAGAACAGAATGATCTAGCTGAAGGTCCTTATTCTAGAATGAAATGGAATGATTTTAAAAAAGTTGAAACGTGCCCAGCCCTAGAAAGTGGGGGAAATATGACGATGATAGGAAACAACAGAAGAGTTGGGAGAACTTTTCCATGGTTAAAACCCATTCCAGGTAAGTCACTGTGACACACAGTTAATGGCATTTAATATACAGGGCTTCCTTAAACTTCAACCATGGTTATATGGAAGGGCTTTCTAGTTTTAAACTTAAGTTTCTTGATCCTAACATGATCTTTGTACAGAATACAAAAATGTTTGGCGCTTCTATTTTGTAAATTAAAAATGTTATAATAAAAACTATTTATCCTTTCTCATATAAAAATACATTTTTGATAATTTTTTTCCAACAAAATCAAATTTTTATTTTTATATCCTTAAATTTTGTACTCTACTTTTCAACATTATGTTTTTTTTTCTAAAATTAGGAAGAGTTACTTAATGATATCTTCTTCAAAACCACTGATTTAATTTAATTTTCTCTCTCCACTAATCACTATAAAATATTTTTTTTTAAAAAGCACTAGAATATTTTATTAAACTTATTTTAACACATTCAATAACATTTTTCATGACAGAAAAATCATTTTTCTCTATTTTTACACTTCACCATCTCTAACATTGAGCAACATGGGGAAGGGGGGAGGAGAAGGGGGAGTAGCAGTCTTGGATGAAACAACCCTGGAAGGAACAGCATTGGAGGGAGCAAGATGGATCATTACTAGAAGGTGATCAGTATACACTATAGATGAAGCAGAACTACGGAGAGCTTTATTCTTAGAGGGAGTAGCACTGGATGTAGCAGCAGTCCTAAATATGGAGCATCACTGTAACAAAAGGAAATGTATTTCCAGATTGAGATCTCAACGACCTGGAATAATATATATTTTTAAAATATAAATTTAGATTCTAAATGATAAGTAAGAAATACACATGCATTGTGAAGAAAGAAAAACAGGATTATTGATGTGTTGGAAAAAAAAATCTAAATTTTTGTTTATTAGGCATAAAAGAATTAAAATTCAAATCAGGACTTACAGCTCTTATGTCGATTAACCCAGCTATCCAAATTTTGTAAGCAATGTAAACGCATATTATTTTGGCTCCAATTACGCAATTAAAACACAAATTTGCATAAGTCTAGACAGGGGCGGAGACAGGATTTAAGTGAGGGGGGGCAAGATTTTTTAGGAACAAAAAAATTAATAATTAGGAACAAAATATCGTATCACAGGCGAAAATTTTTTTTGACTTAAAAGACTCAAAAAGAGTCATAATTAATAACTAAAGACTAAAAAACTAGATTTTTAACTTTTAGGAACAAAATTAATGGATTAGAACAGGAATTTAGGAACAATTAAAAGATTGTTCAGGAATTAGGAACAAAATTAAATGATTAGGACAGGAATTTAGGAACAATTAAAAGATTGTTCAGGAATTAGGAACAAAATTAAAGGATTCGGACAGGGATTTAGGAACAATAAAAAGATTGTTTAGGAATTAGGAACAACAATATTGGATTAGGACAGGGATTTAGGAACAATAAAAAGATTGTTCAGGAATTAGGAACAAAAATATAGGATTAGGACAGGGATTTAAGGTGGGTTGGACACAGTATTAGGAACAGGAACAATACACCCCTCCCTGAATCTGTCAGGGGGTGGCGAATGTCCATCCCGCCCCCCCCTGTATCCGCCCCTGAGTCTAGATTTCAAATTAGTGTAAATATCTAAGTTTTCTGAGGAAAATATTTTATAACCCAGCTTTAAGTAAAAATACCATGAATAAGTGGAGATGTGTAGCATTTATTTCAGGTATACAAATTGCATAAAATACGCTCAATTTGCGTAATTGTTTAAAACTCTAAATCTAAATTTCTAATACAGCATATATTGCATTTAAAAAAAAAAATTTGAAAAATAAACTTTTTAAAAGAATTTAAGTTGTCTTGTTAGCATCGAAATTGTGTTAAAATTGCACTCTTTTTATGCCTATGTTTTGAGGGTTTTAAATATTTAAGAATTGAGTGGCCCAGGTGTTTGTGCAATGTGCAGATTGCAGCAATATTATATAGAAAGTCATGTGATTTGTAGATAAAAGTGAGAAGGGGGGGGGAAATGGGCAGAGAATTTATAGCACTACATAGCACACTGGTTTTTAGTACCAAATTTCACCGTAAGGTGTCTCTGTTTGTTTTACGTAAAATTTAAAAAAAGGAAAAAGGTTCAGATTAAATTTTTTTACTAAAAGTATATCATTTAGAAATCAAGATTTGGGTTTTAAATTATTTTAATCTTTTTAAATAAAACAGTTTTATTAGGAAAATTCACTGAATTTTCTGTCAGAAAGTTTTATAAAACTTTTATAACTCCCTAACAATTATAAAGCTAGGCGCAGTAATCTCTATGTTGAACTGTATTCTCTGATGAATGGAAGTACCTACTCAGGAATGGATGGTCTATCTGCATGCATCAAATTTGCGTAGGTTTTGCAAATTTTTTTGGTAATTGAGTAAATAAAAATGCACATTTTCAGCGAAAATTTGTATAATAATATACGTAAATTTTATGTCTACTAAAACCAATAAATTTGCGTAGCTAAGTGTGCGATTTTACGTCATTCATGACATAAAAAGAGCCAAAATCTCTAAGCAAAATTATTGTAAAAATGCCAAAAGTGACGTTTGAATTGTGCTCTTTTTGCGCAATTTAGCTAGCTGGGAATTTCATTGTTTTCCACTTTTTTATTCAAATGTAGATTCAACTCACTGGTATCAATAAATGTTTAGTCTCCTTTATGATGAAGAGTATACTGTCTTGGATCTAAATACATATAAAATGATTTGATCAAATTCTATCTCAATCTGATCAGCTGAATCCGTCTGCTGGACTGAATTGTCTATAATTTGCTTCTTCTCTGCTTTCTAATATAGTGTGTGATCATGTGATCTAAACACTGTGCTCTGATTGGACATACAAATGGCTGCACCGCTTTCTAGACTTTTGGATGGAACAATAGTCAATATAACCTAAAATCTTCTTATTATGATAGCCAAACCAAACCATCTTTTTTAACTATGGTAGAAATTTAGACAAGATAAAAAAATTTCTTAAGTTTTGGCTTCAGAAATTAACTAATTAAATTAACAAGCCTGACAATTATAAAATCAGCTAACATTTACTTTACTAACAGCAATTCAAGAATTAAAAATCAGTTTGAATTTATATTTGTAACTGAATAAGCACTACATTTTAGTAAAAATAAAAACTATTTTCCAAACCGCATGAAGTTTCTTCTAAAATAGTCATCTAAAATAGAAAATTAAAATTATAAAATATAAAGTATGATTTAGTATATATTCATAGTAAAAAAATTGTAAAAGATATTGATGTAGAATGCAGATATTTTATTTACAATTAAAATTATCTAAAATAAGGTAATAATGTTGATTACTTTCAATAAATCAATCCATGGTAATTCTTTTATAAAATTGTTTTTAGTATACAATATTTTTTCATGAATCCTGTTAGATTAAAAACTTATTTTTACAAGTAGAAATGGTGCCTTTGGCATTTTCAATTTGTTCGTTTATTGTTCCTATACAACCCATTTTGTTTCAAGACGATCTTTTATTTAATTTAATTCAAAAGATTGTTCAAACAAATCTTTTTTTTTATTAAAAATATCGTTTTTCAGCCACTTCAAATAAAAAATTTTGTCCTTAAAAAACTATTGTTTTTTAAAGTTCCCTTAAAACCTTCATTAGTTCAGAAAAAATAAACTATTGTTAACAATTTTAAATCTTATTTTTGTTTTTTTTTTCAATTTCTTTGAAGGATTCAAAAAAATTTAATCAATATGAATTTAAACCCAAAGGGATTCAATAACATTCAAAGTGAAAAAAAACCAATGAGCCCATCTCTAGTGGCACATCCATTTCTGTCTTATAATATAATGCAGATTAATGATCACCTCCTACTCCCTTGGCTCCTGGATTGGCTCCTGGATTGGCTGCTGGCTTGGCTACATCTAAAACATCATAAAGGTTCATTAGTTAGAAGAAAGTGACTGTTGACAGCATAGACATGGTAGTTCAGCTAATAGTGCAGTTCATTAATCTCTATGTTGAACTGTATTCTCTGATGAATGGAACTAGTTCAGAGAGAGTACTACCATACCTACTCAGGAATGGATGGCCTATCTGCAATCTGCATGCATCAAATTTGCGTAGGTTTTGCAAATTTTTTGGTAATTGAGAAAATAATAATGTGCATTTTCAGCGTAAGTTTGTATGATATTATTATGTAAATTTTATGTCTACTAAAACCAAAGAATTTGTGTAGCTAAGTGTGCGATTTTACATCCTTCATGACGTAAAAGCCAAAATCTCTAAGCAAAATTTACGTAAAAATGCAAAAAGTGACTTTTAAATTGCGCTCTTTTAGGGCAATTTAGCTAGCTGGGAATTTCATTGTTTTCCACTTTTTTATAAAAATGTAGATTCAACTGACTGGAATCATTAAATGTTTAGTCTCCTTTATGATGAAGAGTATACTGTCACATTTTAAATAAATATAAAATTTTTTGATTAAATTCTATATCAATCTGATCAGCTGGATACGTCTGCTGGACTGAATTGTCTATAATTTGCTTTCTTCTCTGCTTTCTTCTAAAGTGTGTGATCATGTGATATAAACACCGTGCTCTGATTGGACACACAAATGGCTGAGCTGTTTTCTAGACTTTGGGGTGGAACAATAGTCGATATAACCTTTCTTATGATGATAGCCAAACCAAACCATCTTTTTTAACTATGGTAGAAATTTAGACAAGCTAAAAAAATTTCTTAGGTTTTGGCTTCAGAAATTAACTAATTCAAATTAATTAGTTTGACAATTATAAAATCAGCTGACATTTACTTTACTAACAGCAATTTAAGAATTAAAAATCAGTTTGAATTTATATTTGTAACTGAATAAGCACTACATTTTAGTAAAAATAAAAACTATTTTCCAAATCGCATGAAGCCAGGATTTCCAGCATAGTCAACTAAAATAGAAAATCAAAATTATAAAATATAAAGTATGGTTTAGTAAATATTCATAGTAAAAAAATTGTAAAAGATATTGTTGTAGAATGCAGATATTTTTATTTAAAATTAAAATTATCTAAAATAAGGTAATAATGTTGATTACTTTCAATAAATCAATCCATGGTAATTCTTTTTTAAAGTTCCTTTAAAACCTTCATTAGTTCAGAAAAAATAAACTATTGTTAACAATTTTAAATCTTTTTTTTAGTTTTTTTTTTTTAATTTCTTTGAAGGATTCAAAAAAATTTAATCAATATGCATTTAAACCCAAAGGGATTCAATAACATTCAAAGTGAAAAAAAACCAATGAGCCCATCTCTAGTGGCACATCCATTTCTGTCTTAAAATATAATACAGATTAATGATCACCTCCTACTCCCTTGGCTCCTGGATTGGCTGCTGGGTTGGCTGATGGCTTGGCTACATCTAAAACATCATAAAGGTTCATTAGTTAGAAGAAAGTGACTGTTGACAGCATAGACATGGTAGTTCAGCTAATAGTGCAGTATTGTTAACAAAATTTACACTGTAAAACATCCTACAGGTCTCAAATAAATCTGAAAAACATCTGCAAAACAACCCCCATCACATTTTTGGGGTTAGGACAATTCTTTGGTATCCTAAGCAAGAAAAGGCTAAGGCAGAGCCAAGTGCAGTTAAGGAGGTTTTTCTCATAAAATAGGGAAATTTCCATAAAGGGAGTGTTTGCAAAAAATGAAAGGGGGTATAGGCTTAATTCGTTAAAAAAGCGTTTTTGATTGCTACTAATCTTACTTCTATCTGTTGTGTCTATAAGGAGAAAATTGTTAAAAACGACTCACACAGAAGAATGCAGTGTCCATACAAATTCAGAAAGATGCAACATTCAACTCGGATTGTAAACAAATCAATTTAATTCTGAACAAATCATTCAGATATTACAAGCAGTAGTCATTGCTTATTTTTCGAGGCATTGGTATGCAGTTAATATTTCATAATAATTTTTGATTTTGTTTTTTTTGAGATAATTTTTGCTGGTGGTGGATTTTTGAACATTCCTGGAAAATATGAAAATTTCGTCTTCATTATCAAAAATCCTCAAAACAGGAATAAATGTTTTCAAAAGTAACTCTCAGATCATAAAAAAATACAAAATATTATAAAATTTCAACTATTTACGAATGCGTCAAAAATAATTGATGAATATTGTTTGTAAAATCTAAATGATTTGTTTGGAATTAAATTGATTTGTTTACAATCCAAGTTGAATGGTGCATCTTTCTGAATTAGGGTTACCATTCGCAAAACTTTTCCGCAATTTTTGCAGAACAAAACACAAATTTTTTCTTTCTTTGGGTATCAGTTTTTCGCGAAAAAACAACAATTTGCGCAATCATTCGCAAAAGTCATTTCGCGAAAAATTGCCCTATTCCACTTTTGCTAAACTCAAGTTTTGCGCAATCTGCAAATCAAACGGTTGGTGACGGTGTGTGTTGCTTCGAATTCCATTCTGGAAAAATCTTGTTTTGGAATGTCTTCCTTTTGGTCATTTTTACATAATTGACCAATGACAGTTAAGAAGAGTTCAAATCTCACAATTTTCTCGACAATTTTAGTTTTGGACATGCATATTTCCTAAAAGTGGATTCTTCAGGCATTGGTTACTTTCTTGCATTATTTTATATTAGATTAAAAAGATTTCAGAAATTTGATTAAAAAAATTTAAGAATATAATTCATACTTGATTAGGCAAAGCTTTTAAGGGTCACTTGAAATTATTTGATAGGATTAAATATTCCCGAGTTTCTAAATTCTATTTTATTAATTTTGGTCCCTTAATTTAAACTTTTTGTAACTGGAAGTAACCAATTGAGTGTAGTATAATCGTTATCATACTCGTATGTTAATATTTTTTTTATGTATGGAATAAATTTTCAGTTGTTTGATTCTTAGCTTAGAATATCAATTTTTGACAATTTGCCTAAAAAGTTACTTTTTGTGTAAAACTTACGGTTTTGCGCAAATTGCGCAAAACTTAAATTTCGTTTCATGTGCAACTTTGGCAAAAAAATATTTCCGGTTTTGCGCCAAATGCTCAAAAAAAATAGCGCAAAACCGTGCAAAACTCAAAAGAATTAGCAATTTCGTGGAAACCCTATTCTGAATTTGTATGGACACTACGTTCTTTGGTTTTAGTCTACTTTAACAATTTTCTCCTTATAGATGCAACAGATAAAAGTAAGATTAGTAGTGATCAAAAGTGCTTTTTTATCACATTAAGCCTATACCCAATTTCATTTTTCGCGAACACTCCTTTTAAGCCACTCGGCTGTTCACTTATTTGGATAATTTCAGACTTAACTACTAACCTATTAGCTATTCATTGGTATTAGTCTTATTTTTCAAAGATAGCTGTGGCCAGTGAAAAAGCGAATTTTGCTTAACGAATTCCAGCACAAAGATATAAAATCTTTGTATAGACACTATTTAAATGCTTGGATCATTGGGTTACTTCAGAAAAATAGTAAAGGGTAAAAAATCTAAATTTTTTACCTGTAAAATCTTGTCCAGGGGCGTCGTCTATTGTTTCAACCAGGTAAGTTTTTGATGATCCTTTTTTTCATGTTAAAATGTATAGATATATGTAGTAATAATATTAGTGAGAAAGTTAATAATAATAATAATAATAATAATAATAATTCAGAAACTTAAGTAAAACTTAAAATTCACACATTCTGTAGTTTTGCTTATATTTTTCATATTTATATTTATTGTAATACATTCTTCATATAAGCAGGTTAAACTGCCTTTCAAGTTATTATGCAAGTCCGTTTTTATAAATTTCTACTCAAAAACTATTATTTAAAAAATATTTTTTTTAAGTTTTCCATCAGGTTTTAAATATGTTTACAAATTTTTGTATACTTGAGTTGTGCACAGTATACACAAAGTGTAAAATTGTACAATTTGGAATTAAAAAAACTTGTATTCCAACAAATCAATGTCCCTTTGCCTGCATTTAGGGAGACTTTGAGTTGGCTTTCTAATAAAGGATTCTGGAAGGAAAAAAATAATGTCAAAAAGGTGTTAGGCAAGAGCAAATAAAAAGTCTAACAAATTACATGAACAAGAGGCTTCTGGAGGTTATCTGCAGGAGGTCAGGAAGCTTTGTAGGAATGTGATTTTATTTAGAAACTCCCTGAAATTTTGAGAAAGGGTTGTTTGAAGAATAAAAACAGCTCCAATGAAGAGTTTATCTCTGTTTAGACTTACTTTTCATAAAATCTTTTTTAGGAGGGGGAAGGGAGCTGTTGGGTCTCTCATGCATAATTCCCAATTAAAATGAAGAAAAAAACATTTGACTGAAATATTTCAAGAAAATTAATATATTCAAATTTAAATTGTAAATAAAATGTTTCATACAAAAAAGAACATTTTCCCTTTAATTGAATGTTGTTATTAAAATTGTTATTTAATATTTATCTCTGCTTGTACTAAAGCTTGGTGAAAAAAAACATAAATATAATGATTTTAATGATTTTTACAACGACCACAAATGAAAATAGAAAATCTTTGAATAAGATTAAAATATTTTAAATGATATCTCTTGTATTCTGGATTAACATGCCTAAAGAAATTACATATGATAAAATGCAGATAAAAGCTACCATATTCTTAAGACAGCTCATTTTGGACTGAGAAATGTAAAAGTATCCAGATTTAAAGAAAACTCAGAAATTAAAATTTATTTGATTGATATATGATTCTAAAAGATTTGTTAGTATTATTTAATAGTTAAATTGATTATTATAATGATTTAATACAAATGTGTACTGCAGGGTAACCACCAAAAAGTTCTATGAAAATAAGTTTTCACAAATAAAGTCCCAAATTTTGTCCCTAAAAAATCCTGTGGAAAAAGTTCTTGAAATAAAAAGTCTCTGGAAAAAAGACCTACCATTTTGAGACTTTATTTTCTAGTTTTTTTTTTCTTCACTACCAGCCTTTAAGACACCATTTCATGTCAACAATTTTACTACGCTTTTAACTTTTACACTGAAAGTGACCATTTAAAGCATTTAAAATTTGGGTGGGTTTTTCTATTCTAAGGGTAAAATTGTTTAACTTTAACGGTCTAAAAGTTACATTTAATGTCATGAAGCAGACATGATGTTTTTAGTTATACGTTAGGTTTTGGGTCTTCAAATACTTTGATGTACCAGAGGCCGAAACTTAAGACATTTTAACCATGGTTAAATCAGATTCTAACCATGGTAAACTGATAGAAAATGACAGATCTTTGTAACCATGATTAACTTTAAAATCATTGTAATAGTTTGCGGCATCAGCGCAGCTCGGATTTTAACCCTAGGTCTACCTGGGGTTAAAATGGGTCTAACCCAGAGTTGCCAATTTGGGGATTTCATCCTGAAAAAGGATCAGATTTGGGGATTTAAAACTGTTTAGAGATTTTTGGATATCCCCAAAGAATTTTGGGGATTTGAGAAATTTGAGAGTTAAGTAATAAAATCTATTTTATAGTTAACCAGCAATTTAACTCTTTGAGTAAAATAATGGTTATATTACTAGAAATCTACCTGTCCTTGCCTTCTAGGCCCTCCTCCCCCTGCCACACAGACAAGATAGGCCCTGGCAATAGCTGATCTGTCGTTGCACTAACTAATCACATCACAATCTAATTCAATTCAATTCTCATTCAGTATTCATTTACATTTCACAATCACGTACACACAGTCTCAGTTCTCTCATATTATTAGTTTAAACTAACAGGAGGTTACATTATATAATATTAAAAGAGAATCCATTCACAGCGTTATTTAAAATCAGAATTTTAATTGATATTGTTTTATATTTAACAAAAGTGTTAGAAGTGGCAGTAAATGAAATTTGTTTAAATGTGCAAATATATTTAACAACTATTTTCGGTTTCAGATGGGTAAGTGGTAGGGCTGGGCGTTGTTCTTGGGGAAAGATCATTCTTTCACAAGAACAAACGGAACGATCAAGCACGATCCCATCATTCCAAAAAAATAACAAATGAATAGAACGCTTTCTTAAAAATGTTGGAACGATTTGTAAAGAAGCAGAACAGAACGGAACAGAATTTTTTGAAAAGAAAGTTTATAATCAGGAAGGGGTTCATATTATCAAGAATGTGTTCTAAGTCGAGAATGCATTTTAAATCAGGGATGTGTTCCAAATCATCTAGAAATAATTGAAAGATTTTTTGAATTGATCACATGAATCCACCCCCATTGGCCCTCCCCCCACTCTAAACCCGCCGCCCCCCTCTCCACTCCCTCTTCTAAACTAACAACAGACTACAGAGCAGGTTTCAGTTTAACTTCTGTATATCTTACATATTAAGGATTTCAGGACTCCCGCCCCTCCCCCCAACTCTGACGAAATTATTCATTGCTCAGCCCAGAAATTATCTAAGCTTATTCTTTTAACTCTAAATTTAAAATATACAATTTTAAGTATATTTAGGGCTGTTAGGATTTTTTTATTATAAAATCGTAATTTTTTTACTTTTTAACCAACTCCACTATAAAACTTTTGTCTTGGATGGAATCGTTCTTTACTAAATCAGAATGGGGGATGGAAAAGTTGTTGACTAAAAACAGAACAAGAGGGATGGAAAGGTTCTTTGACAAAGAAGGCCAAGAATGGAACAGAACAGGATGATTGTTCTTCTACTCAAAATGAAACGGAATGGGACAGAATGGAAGGAGAATGGAATGATCTTCTAGCTAAAGGCCCTCCTTCTAGAACAGAACGGAACAATTTCAAAATAGTTGGAATATGCCCAGCCCTAGTAAGTGGGTAAAATATGATGATGATAGGAAATACCAGAAGAGTTGGAAGAAAACTTTTCTATGGTTAAAACCCATTCCAGGTAAGTCACTGTGAGACTCAAATCACAGTTAATCATGTTTAATATACAGGGCTTAAACTCCTTAAACTTTAGCCATGGTTAAATGGAAGCACTTTTTAGTTTTAAACTTAAGTTTTTTGATCTCAACATGATCTTCGTACACAACTATACAAATGATTGGCGCTTCTCATCAAAATTATTGCATTTCTTAGAAAAAAATGAAGTGTTTAAAATTAAAAAAGTCAATATAATAAAAAAGGGTAATTTAATTTTGTAAAATTTTTAATTTATTATAAAAAACTATTTTTCATTTCTCAAATAAAAATGTTTGCCTATATATTTTTCATAATTTTTTCCAACTCAATCAAACTTTTATTTTTATATCCTTAACCCTATTCCTATTTTTGCAAATTTGCAAATTTTTTTGCAGATTCTAAAAGTAGAGCACAAGAGCTTTCTAATGATGTATCATTTGTCATATTTGGACATAAAACATGGGATTTAGAGGGGGGGGGGTCAAATTGACCCCCCCCCAGCGTATCCTGGTTTTCAAGGACCCCAGCAGGGATAGGGTTAAATTTTGTACTCTACTTTTCAACATTATATTTTTTTTCTAAAAAAAGGAAGAGTTACTCAATGATATCTTCTTCAAAACCACTGTTTAAATTTAATTTTCTCTCTCCATTAATCACTATAAAATACTTTTTTAAAAATCACTAGAATATTTTTTATTAAACATCTTTTAACGCATTCAAAAACATTTATTCATGACAGGAAAATCATTTTTCTCTATTTTTACACTTCACCATCTCTAACATTGAGCAACATGAGGAAGCTGGGGGAGGAGGGGGAGTAGCAGTCCTTGATGAAATAACCCTGGAAGGAACAGCATTAGAGGGAGCAAGATGGATCTTTACAAGAAGGTGATCAGTACACACTAGATGAAGCAGAACTACGGGGAGCTTTATTCTTAGAGGGAGTAGCACTGGATGTAGCAGCAGTCCTAAATATGGAGCATCACTGTAACAAAGGGAAAAGTATTTCCAGATTTAGATCTCAACCACCTGAAATAATTTATATTTTTTAACTATAAATTTAGATTCTAAATGTTAAGTAAGAAATATGCATGCATTGTGAAGAAAGAAAGACAGGATTATTGATGTGTTGGAAAAAAAATATTCTAAATTTTTGTTTATTAGGCATAAAAGAATTAAAATTCAAACTTTTTTGCCCTTCCCCCCCCCTTCCTCTCCCCCAACACATATCATAATTAATCTAATTTCAAACTAACTAATAAATACATAAAGAAAATTTTATTGTTAATTTTACCTATTTCTGACGTTGAGTATTCCCTGCTAATGCATTGTGCATTTTTCTCATTTATGCAGGACTTACAGCTCTTATGTCGATTAACCCAGCTATCCAAATTTTGTAAGCAATGTAAACGCATATTATTTTGGCTCCAATTACGCAATTAAAACGCAAATTTGCGTAAGTCTAGATTTCAAATTAGTGTAAATATCTAATTTTTCTAAGGAAAATATTTTATAACCCAGCTTTAAGTAAAAATATCATGAATTTGTGGAGATGTGTAGCATTTACTTCAGGTATACAAATTGCATAAAATACGCTCAATTTGCGTAATTGTATAAAACTCTAAATCTAAATTATTTGTGAAATATCTAAAATTTCTAATACAGCATATATTGCATTTTTCAAAAAAAAAATTGAAAAATAAACTTTTCAAAAGAATTTAAGTTGTCTTGTTAGGATCAAAATTGTGTTAAAATTGCGCTCTTTTTACGCCTATGTTTTGAGTGTTTTAAATAATGAAGAATTGAGTGGCCCAGGTGTTTGTGCACTGTGCAGATTGCAGCAATATTAAATAGAAAGCCGTGTGATTTGTAGATAAAAGTGGGAAGGGGGGGGGGGAAATCGGCAGAGAATTTATAGCACTACATAGCACACTGGTTTTTAGTACCAAATTTCACCACTAGATGTCTCTGTTTGTTTCACATAAAATTAAAAAAAAGTAAAAAGGTTCAGATTAAATTTTTTTTCTAAAAGTATATCATTTAGAAGTCAAGATTTGGGTTTAAAATCATTTTAATTTTTTTAAATAAACCATTTTTATTAGGAAAAATCACTGAATTTTCTCAGAAAGTTTTATATAAGTTTTATAACTCCCTGAAAATTATAAAGCTAGACACATTTATCTCTATGTTGAACTGTATTCTCTGATGAATGGAACTAGTTCAGAGAGAGTACTACCATACCTACTCAGGAATGGATGGCCTATCTGCATGCATCAAATTTGCGTAGGTTTTGCAAATTTTTTGGTAATTGAGAAAATAAAAATGTGCATTTTCAGCGTAAATTTGTATGATAATATTATGTAAATTTTACGTCTACTAAAACCAAAGAATTTGTGTAGCTAAGTGTGCGATTTTACATCTTTCATGACGTAAAAAGAGCCAAAATCTCTAAGCAAAATTTACGTAAAAATGCAAAAAGTGACGTTTAAATTGCGCTCTTTTAGGGCAATTTTATCTAGCTGGGAATTTCATTGTTTTCCACTTTTTTATACAAATGTAGATTCAACTGACTGGAATCATTAAATGTTTAGTCTCCTTTATGATGAAGAGTATATTGTCTTGTTTTAAATAAATATAAGATGTTTTATTAAATTCTATATCAATCTGATCAGCTGGATACGTCTGCTGGACTGAATTGTCTATAAATTGCTTTCTTCTCTGCTTTCTACTAAAATGTGTGATCATGTGATATAAACACCTGATTGGACACACAAATGGCTGAGCTGTTTTCTAGACTTTGGGGTGGAACAATAGTCAATATAACCTAAAATTTTCTTATGATGATAGCCAAACCAAACCATCTTTTTTAACTATGGTAGAAATTTAAACAAGTTAAAAAAATTTCTTAAGTTTTGGCTTCAGAAATTAACTAATTAAATTAATTAGCCTGACAATTATAAAATCAGCTGACATTTACTTTACTAACAGCAATTCAAGAATTAAAAATCAGTTTGAATTTATATTTGTAACTGAATAAGCACTACATTTTAGTAAAAATAAAAACTATTTTCCAAATCGCATGAAGCCAGGATTTCCAGCATAGTCAACTAAAATAGAAAATCAAAATTATAAAATATAAAGTATGGTTTAGTAAATATTCATAGTAAAAAAATTATAGAAGATATTGTTGTAGAATAAAGATATTTTTATTTAAAATTAAAATTATCTAAAATAAGGTAATAATGTTGATTACTTTCAATAAATCAATCCATGGTAATTCTTTTTTAAAGTTCCTTTAAAACCTTCATTAGTTCAGAAAAAATAAACTATTGTTAACAATTTTAAATCTTTTTTTTAGTTTTTTTTTTTTAATTTCTTTGAAGGATTCAAAAAAATTTAATCAATATGAATTTAAACCCAAAGGGATTCAATATCATTCAAAGTGAAAAAAAACCAATGAGCCCATCTCTAGTGGCACATCCATTTCTGTCTTAAAATATAATACAGATTAATGATCACCTCCTACTCCCTTGGCTCCTGGATTGGCTGCTGGCTTGGCTGATGGCTTGGCTACATCTAAAACATCATAAAGGTTCATTAGTTAGAAGAAAGTGACTGTCGACTGCATATACATGGTAGTTCAGCTAATGGTGCAGTATTGTTAACAAAATTTTTCACTGTAAAACATCTGAGAAACATCTGCAAAGCAAACCCCATTACAATTTTGGGGTTAGGACAATTCTTTGGTATCCTAAGCAAGAAAAGGCTAAGGCAGAGCCAAGTGCAGTTAAGGAAGTTTTTCTCATAAAATAGGGAAATTTCCTTAAGAGACTCGTCTGTTCACTTATTTGGATAATTTCAGACTAAACTAGCTAACCATTAGCTATTCATTGGTATTAACCTTGTTAGTCAAAGATAGCTGTAGCCAATGAAAAAGCCAATATACCTTTAAGAATTCCGGCACAAAGATATGATACCTTTGTATAGACACTATTTAAATGCTTGGATCATTGGGTTTTTTAGAAAAATAGTAAAGGCTAAAAAATCTAAAATTTTTTACCTGTAAAATCTTGTCCAGGGGCGTCGTCTATTGTTTCAACCAGGTAAGTTTTTGATGATCCTTTTTTTCATGTTAAAATGTATAGATATATGTAGTAATAATATTAGTGAGAAAGTTAATATAATAATAATAATAATAATAATTCATTATATTACAGAAACTTAACTAAAACTTAAAATTCACACATTCTGTAGTTTTAAAATTCCCTTATTCATAGAATATACTGGTTTATATTTTTCATATTTATATTTATTGTAATACATTCTTCATTTTATCAGGTTAAACTGCCTTTTAAGTTATTATGCAAGTATGTTTTGATAAATTTCTACTCAAAAACTATTATTTTAAAAATATTTTTTTTTGTGTTTTCCATGAGGTTTTTAAATATGTTTACAAATTTTTGTATACTCGAATTGTACACAGTACAAACAAAGTGTAAAATTGTACAATTTGGAATTAAAAAAAGCTTGTATTCCAACAAGACAATGTCCCTTTGCCTGCATTTAGGGAGACTGTGTCTTGGCTTGCTAATAAAGGATTTAGTAAGGAAAAAAAACAATTTCAAAAAGGTGTTAAGGCCAGAGCAAATAAAAAATCTATCAAATTCCAGGAACAAGAGGCTGCTGGAGGTTTTCTAAAGGAGGTCAGGAAGCTTTGTAGGAATGTGATTTTATAGAGAAACTCCCTGAAATGTTGATAAAGGGTTGTTTGAAGAATAAAAATAGCGCTAATGAAGAGTTTTTATCTGTTGAGACTTACTTTTCATAAAATCTTATATTACGAGGAGTTGGGGGACTGTGGGGTCTCTCACAAAGTAAAACAAAATTTGGCTGAAATATTTCAAGACAATTAATATATTCAAATTTAATTAGTAAATAAAATGTTTTATACAAAAATCTTGGAATAAGATCAAATTATTGTAAAGGATTTCTCTTCTATTTTGGATTAACATGCCTAAAGAAATTACATATGATAAAATGCAGATAAAAGCTAGCATATTCTTAAGACCGCTCATTTTGAACTGAGACATGTAAAAGTATACAGATTTAAAGAAAACTGAGAAATTAAATTGATTTATTTGAAACATGAAGCTAAAAGATTTATTAATATGATTAAAGAATTAAATTGGTTTTTATAATCATTAAATCTATATGTGTACTGCAAGGTTCAATAGGAGGGTTAATTGAACATCCACATGTTAGATTGAAATATATTATTGTTAAATCATATAAAGTGCTATTGAGAAATAAGTATTAAACAAGTATTTGACCTTCTCCTTCTGTATAGAAGTAGTTGGGGTTCCGTTTCCGGAAGAAAATTCCTTTTCAAAAATGAAATGATCGGGAATTTTTCGTAATTTGGAGTTCTGGATGAAATGGAAACCGGATTTTTTCTGGTTTTAGCAACCCAGAAAATATTGGGTTTCCATTTCGTAAACCATAATAATTTCTAAGCAAGACAAATTCTGGTTTTTATTCAATAGACCAGAAAAGTTTCCACACTGTACTTCCGGCTGTCAAAAGTAAACTTCTTTGTAAAGTTTTTCTATTTTAAAAGGCCGTTGAGGTTTCTCACGGGATGAATTTTTTTTTTTTAAGGAAGTTTTCATGCCCTGTACATGATATACTTCATGATGTATGCTGCTTAAGATTCCTATTAAAGGAAGAAAAAGTTCAAAAACTTTAACAAAAAAATGCAAACAAATTTCGTTTTTTTGCAAAAGTAATTAAGTGCGATAAAAAATCCTGCAAAAAAAATTTGTGACGTTACTGTGATATTTAATTGTGCAAAAAGCTTATGAAATTCTCTGTTCTGAAAGCTCAGCATTGGAAGTTTTTTTAATATCATAATTAATAATTTCTCTGTAGTTTTATTTTTGAAAAATTTTCGCCCTTTTTCTGCGAAATTTTGCGAAAAAAGCGAAAATTTTCGCATTTTCTTGAACGAAGGAAGTGCAAAGAAATGCAAAATTTTCAGCTAAATTTTTTTTATTTACCTTTTTTACCTTTTTCGCTGGAAACCATAGTTCTAATGATTCAGATCCTGCATGTAAAGGACTATTATTTTATCCACTGTTCTACATAATGTGATACTAAAGGAGGCATTGAAGTAGACATAGAAGGAAACCCGAGATGTTTATGTGTTTTTTCTTCTAATTTTCTCTTTTTAAGCTTGAAACATTTAAAAATACTCATTTAAATTCTCAGAATAATAATAAAACAACAACAGCAAACAAGAATTCATATTCTGTTAAACATACTTTCAACAAGAAAAAACTTTAACACCAAAAAAATCTGCGCAAAAAAACTTCATTGCTAAAATTAGAACTGCAGCGTCAAAAAATTTTGCAAAAACTTTTTACTACGTGAAAATCTCTTATATAGTTACCATCCATCATTAGTAGAAGTACTAAATGCTTGAAAAGCATCATTGATTAAAATCTGTGAAATTGTGAAATATTTCAATTCATGTTTTGAGTCCAAACTTTTCATTTGCTTCAAAAATCTAACATTTTCTAAAATTAAATTAATAACCATTAACAATTTTAATTTATTTTTACTTGTAGGGGTTTAGTCATAGACAAAGATAGACACTCAGACAGCTCCTCTCATGAAACCTCGATTTAAATAGAAAGTGGGGTTCATAACAGTACATATACTGCAGGGTTTGTTTTCAATTGCTAAATACTAAATGATCTGATATAGATAGATATTTCCCCTAAAATATAAACAAAAATAAAGATGCAAAGGAAGCACTGGAAAATAACTTGTTTTTAAAAAAGGTACACAAACGACCCAATTATTCTAAAATTGTATAGTTTTGTCCAGCATGTATGTTATATTTAGTACATCTCAGTGTCAGGTCTGGACAAAATCAGGGTTTGGAACTTTCTTAAACTAAATGTTAAGGAACTTATTTCTGAATAGAAATTTGTTGATAAATCAATGTTAGAATCAATTATTTCTTTTTAATCAATATATTAAATTTCTTATTCTTTACATATTTGTTAGCATATTTCTTCAAATTCATCAAATGTGGTCTTTTCAATAGAAATTCAAGGAAATCTACAGAAAATATTTAAGAACTATGAGACATCATAAAAACCAATAACTAAATAAGATTATTTAATTTCGATGATAAAAGTTTATTTATATTTTCTCAACCTGTTCCAAAACAACAAATTTGTTTACTTTACAATTTTTATTACATTTTTTGTTGACACTCTTAAATAATTTTTAAACAACCGATTCTCAAAATCATTCCTCTTACATGGACTATCCATAAAGATTGAATTTGCACTCTTGCTGAACAAATATGCACGTTAAAAACATTATGTCTCAATTGAATCTTAAAAAATTTCTTTACAATACTACATTCTTAGTTCAACTACCATACATTGCTGGTCACTCCATTTGAGTCGATTGTTTTTACACTTATTACCCTTAATTCTAAAATATTAATACTCATGTACTAATTAATTATAAATCAATTTATTAATGCCACTATTGTGAACCAGTGAGGATTCACAATTGTAAATAATAAAGTACAGTTTATTGCTCCAAAGCCAGAATATGTTGGAACCTGATAATCTCCCAAGCCAACCTCTAAAGGTTATTGAACTCTTAGGTTAGGTTAGGTGTAGGATTAACGAACCTGTCTATGTGAAGGAGCATGAGGATTAACGAACCTAAGTGTAGGATTAACGAACCTGTCTATATGAAGGAGCACGAGGATTAACGAACCTATGTGTAGGATTAACGAACCTGTCTATGCGAAGGAGCATGAGGATCAACGAACCTATGTGTAGGATTAACGAACCTGTCTATGTGAAGGAGCATGAGGATCAATGAACCTATGTGTAGGATGATCAGGTTTAGCTTCATCATAATATTCATAATCATATTCTTTAAGCTCTCCATTCTCTGCCTAGAGGAATAATAATAATATTTAATAGTTAAATTTAATTTTGAGAAAAAATTCAATTTCAGTGCCAATTTGTTTCATGTACTTTATTGTTATTTTCATAATTATTATTATTATTATTATTAGTGTTATCATAATTATTATAATTATTATTATTGTTAAGTTTCACCAAAAAAAATTTACATTTTCCTTAGAATAAAAAGTGATTTCATTTTACGCAAAAAAAAACTCTTTTTCTTTTACTTCATACAATTTTTTGGCTTATTTGAAAATAATGATTTCAAGTAACTAATGTTTAAAAAAGGGAAAGAATGAATGTGAAAAAATAGTCATATTTCTAGCATAGACAAAGGTAAAATTTTGAAATAATATTAATTGTCAAAGAGAAAAATATAGATAACTAATTCCTTCTTTATGACTCAGAAAAAGCTTTTGAGGGTGTGCAGTCACTTTAAATATAGTCTACAGTCACTTTAAATATAGTCTACAGTCACCTTAAATATAGTCTACAGTCACTTTAAATACAGTCTACAGTCACTTTAAATATAGTCTACAGTCACTTTAAAATACAGTCTACAGTCACTTTAAATATAGTCTACAGTCAATTTAAAATACAGTCACTTTAAAATAAAGTCTACAGTCACTTTAAATACAGTCTACTGTCACTTTAAATACAGTCTACAGTCACTTTATATATAGTCTACAGTCACTTTAAATATAGTCTACAGTTATTTTAAATACAGTCTACAGTCACTTGAAATACAGTCTACAGTCACTTTAAATATAGTCTACAGTTACTTTAAATACAGTCTACAGTCACTTTAAATACAGTCTACTGTCACTTTAAATACAGTCTACAGTCACTTTAAATATAGTCTACAGTCACTTTAAATACAGTCTACTGTTACTTTAAATACAGTCTACAGTCACTTTATATATAGTCTACAGTCACTTTAAATATAGTCTACAGTTACTTTAAATACAGTCTACATTTACTTTAAAATATAGTCTACAGTTACTTTAAAATATAGTGTACAGTCCCTTTAAAATACCGTGTACAGTCCGCTTAAAATGCTGTGTACAGTCCCTTTAAAATACCGTATACAGTCCCTTTAAAATACTGTATACAGTTCCTTTAAAATACCGTGTACAGTATCTTTGAAATACCGTGTACAGTCCCTTTAAAAAACTGTGTACAGTCCCTTTAAAATACCGTTTACAGTCCCTTTAAAATACCGTTTACAGTCCCTTTAAAATACAGTCTATAGGAATATTATACCTCCAACAGAGTATTTGGCTTTAACAGCATCATCATAAGTAATGGCAAAGGGATGGAAAACTTTGCACTTTTGAACATATAAGGCAAAATTTTCATTTTCAATATTTTCCCCCCGCCCCCCAAAGAAAAAAGTATTAACAAACTTAAAACACAAAGGAATTGAGTCTTTGTCACAAACTACAATTTTCTAATCTCTATATCTTTGTAATCCAATGCCGTAGAGTTTGAAATATTAAAGGTTTACACCATCAGGTGGAAAAAATATAGGTATTAGCAAATCAGAGTTTTTTTAGAAAGACTCAATTCCTTTCAAAGTTTCAAATGCTAAACGTAAAAAAAAATTACTTTATCATTATTGTTTTCACTATTATCATTATTATCATCATTATCATCATGACAAGATAATGATGATAATGATGATAAGGATGATAATGATGATAACAATGTTAATGATGATAATGATGATGATGATAATTATGATAATGATAATAATGATAATAATGATAATAATGATAATAATGATAATAATGATAATAATGATAATTATGATAATAATGATAATAATGATAATAATGAGAATAACTGTACGTAGTTAAAATTATCCTTGTAAAGATGTGAGAGCGCCATACAGTACAACTGAGCTGTAGCGAGTGTTTGTAGAAGATGGCGGATATTCACCCTCTGTTCACACTCAAGAACCTCTACCTCATCTTGGTCACATATCTAAAATACAGCAGTGCAGTTCAGTACAGAAAAACGAAAAAAAACGTAAAATAAAAACCCAAAAACTTAGAAAAATTACTTGGTATTAAATTTTCGAAAATATGCTTATTTTTAGATATGCATCAAACTTTTAAACTCTAAAAAATTACAATTTATAAAATAAAGAAAAAACTTATACATTATATAAAAACCTAAAACCTAAATTTACTTGGTATGAAATTTAGGAATAAATAAGTAAAAAAAGATTAGAATGATTTTCTAACCCCCACACCCCACTGTTGATTTTGGCCTAGCCGCAGCCCTTGGCCCAGAAATTGTCCTAACCTAACTTTGAAATCTATTTTATGTGTACTAATCTAGCCCGTTTCTCTTCACTTAACCAATATGGCAAAACCGCCTCAAACTCTAATTCTTTGTCTATCTTAACTCACCAAGGCTTTACATAACAAGAGTCTGTATTGAACTATCTTCATTTATAAAACCATGGTTATACCAGGCTGGTATGACCAGCCAGGTTACAAAAATAGAAATAGAAATAAAATAAATAGAAATACAAATCCAAATAGAATTACAGCATTAATCATGGTAGCACAGGAAGATAGATAGTTAGCTATACCTATATTTCAGAGTTGATTACATATGTACAAAATTAGGGGGGGGGGGATTAATTAAACAACAACGAATAACTCTAGGATTTTATAAATGTATTATATATATATAAAGATTCACACACAAAGATATAAATACATTAATAAATGGTGTAGTTTAAATTTGTTTAAATAAATTTTTGAAAATACAGGTTTCCAAAAGAAAAGAGAAAAATGTGCAAAATTATGCAAAAATAGACGACATTGATCATTACTCATTATATAACATATTTAAAAGTTCTTGTAAAACCGGAACTTTCCGTGCATGGTCCATTGGGACATTAAAATATTTCATTTTGTTTCTAAACCCTATTCCTGCTGGGGGGGGGGGTCAATTTAACCCCCCCTGTAGTTTTTTTTTAAATAACTCAAATAGTATTGGTCTGAGGCTGTTGAAATTTTCTGACTTTTCCTACATACCCAAAGCCCTCCCTTTAGGCTTAAAACCGGGCTTTAATACTAACTGCCTGAGTCCTCAGGCACACTGCCTGAATGACTGCTTTTTCATGTAACAAACTAAATCTTTGTTTTGACCCACTTCCACTTTTCAGATTTTGATAAAATTTAGCTTTTTGGAAAGCCTTGACAAAAGGAAACGAATTGCACAAGTTTTGCAAAAGAAAAATGGAAATTTTTGGGAAACAACCTGTCAAAGGAAATTTGCACATTTTTAGTTTTTCTTGATTAAAAATCAGGTTATTTAAAATTTTGCAAAATTTTTTGCATATTTGAAATGGGATGGTCAATAGCTTTTCAAAAATTTTGTAACTCTTTATTTTTTGGACAAATTTTTTTTTCAAACATTTTTACTGTATAACTGGATTTTGCGATAAAAAAATCAATTTTTGCAAATTTGCAAATTTTTTTTGCAGATTCTAAAAGTAGAGCACAAGGGCTTTCTATTGATGTATCATTTGTCATATTTGGACATAAAACATGGGATTTAGAGGTGGGGTCAAATTGACCCCCCCAGCACATCCTGGGTTAACTTACATTTTACTAAGATCCAAAGGATTTACAGAACAATAATTTGCAATAGAAAATAAATGCCAAGAACTGTGTTAAGGTCATTTTTACATAAAACAGAAAGAAATCAAATGCAAAGCTTAGAACTTGCTTCAATAGTCTCATAGAAATACACACATCTACTAGCTAAAATAGTTTTTAACTTTTTAATTGTAGACATTGTGAAATACTTTCAATCAAGTACCTATGTGTATCTCTAGGTACATTAAAAAGAATTCTAATTGCAGTATTCAATGCTGTATACAATTTTGAAACACATTGGGAACTCAAGTCCAAATACTAGATCCATAAAAACTACAGCAATAAATATTATACAGTTTCAAAATAACTTCAGGACTGTTAAAATAAAATTCTTGGTTAAGGGAATATATTTTTGAAATGAAAATAGCTCGTTTTTTATTGCAATCTATGGTCATTGAATTATCACTTTGCAGAAAATTTCCTAAATGTGCTAAGTCGTTGACAAATGGTAAAGCCCAATTCAATAAAATTGGGGTTATTTCATCATAATTAACCCTTTCTTTAGAAAAAATAAGTCATTTATTTTTACATTTTTTGATTCAAATATTTGAACAAAATTTCAGTTTAGTAGCTTTGGCAAAATTTTCACAAATTTTCACCATTTCCTGAAGACCTGTTCTGCTAGGAGACAGCAGAATAATATCATCTGCATATACCCAGATGCCCATATAAACACCCTAGATTTGGCATCCAGTCGTTGAACAGCATAATAACTTTGTCAATGTATATACAGAATAGCACAGGGGAAGAAACTGCTCCTTGTCTGACTCCATTTTGTACATTGAAGGTATTTGAGAACGCATTACCCCATCTAACATTACATTTTTGATTTGAGTAAATGAACATTAAACACCTTAATGCTAGAGATGAAACACCCCTCTCCAATAACTCTGTGAAGAGCACTTCCCATGACACAAGATCAAATGCCTTACTCAGATCCATTGCACAAGCATAAACTGCTCTACCAGCTCTGTTGTAATAATCCATTACAGAGTTGACCCCCAGCTGCACATTGTAGTACTGGCTAGCTTCTGAAAACCAAACTGAAGTTCATCTTTGGTCAGCTTTTCAGATTTTAGAATTAATATCAACCAGTCAAACCATTTTAGAATCAAGCTTTCGATGGCAATTGCCCTGTAAATGTCACTGATAGCAATGTCATCTAAGTTGTCCTTCACTATGGGCACTAATGTGCACAGTAGTAAAAAAGCAGGAATTTTGCTTGTAGCCAAAAACCATTTAAATAGAGTGTTCACATGATCTATTAACTTGCTAGATGCATTCATCAAGCAGTCTGAGCTGAAGTCAAATAATGCATCCCTTTTTATTGCTTTCATTTTATTAAGTGCATCTTTGACTGACTTATATAATTCTGTATTCCATGATGAACTCTTTCTTGTATATTTTGCTGCACTTTATCAAAATGTTCTCCTAAAGTATGCTGGGAGTACAGATTTTCATGGATTTCTGGAAAGTGATCTGCAATATTCTGGGCCCCAACTTCTCCATCTATACAATTTGAAATTGGTGTGCTTTGACCACGGAATTTCTTAATTTCTTTGAATATAACACCTCCTCCATTGAGCAAGTTTCTGGAAATATAAACAAAAAAGAATAATTTAATTTATTTGAGTTTACTTAAAATGTGCTCAGTCTTCTTTTCAAAGATTTTTTGAGAAATTATAATTATAATTTTACTTTACATTTACAACAGAATAGAAAAAGTTGTACAATTTTGATGATAGAATTGATGTTTTTTAAAACTAAAAGACAAAATAAGATTTCAAATTTTATTGTGAAAATCTTTAGAAAAAGGACCTTGTATCTGAAGGCTAGAACAGCAATTTAGATTAAAATCTTTTTACGGCGATCCCCCTAATTTATTGACATTAACTATCCACTAGGCACTCATTGTAATAATAAAACGAAATTTAGTCGGTTAACACAAAGGATGATAGGAAATAACAGAAGAGTTGGGAGAACTTTTCTATGGTTGAAACCCATTCCAGGTAAGTCACTGTGACAAACAGTTAATGGCATTTAATATACAGGGCTTCCTTAAACTTCAACCATGGTTAAATGGAAGGGTTTTCTAGTTTTAAACTTAAGTTTCTTGATCCTAACATGATCTTTGTACAAAATACAAAAATGTTTGGCGCTTCTATTTTGTAAATTAAAAATGTTATAATAAAAACTATTTATCCTTTCTCAAATAAAAATACATTTTTGATAACTTTTTCCAACAAAATCAAACTTTTATTTTTACATCTTTAAATTTTGTAATCTACTTTTCAACATAATGTTTTTTTTCTCAAAAAAAGGAAGAGTTACTCAATGATATCTTCTTCAAATCCACTGATTTAATTTAATTTTCTCTCTCCACCAATCACCATAAAAGACTTTATTATAAGTACAAGAATATTTTTTATCAAACACCTTTCAATGCATTAAATAACATAACAGGAAAATCATTTTTCTCTTTATTGACACTTCACCATCTCTAACATTGAGCAGCATTGGGGGGAGGAGTAGCAGTCATTGATGAAACAACTTTGGAAGGACCAGCATTAGAGGGAGCAGCACTCCAAGATGGATTATTAATAGAAGGAGATCAGTATATACTAGATGAACAGAACTATGGGAAGCTTCATTCTTAGAGGGAGTAGCATTGGATGTAGCAGCAGTCCTAAATATAGAGCATCACTGTAACAAAGGGAAAAGTATTTCCTGATTGATATCTCAACCACATGAAATTATGTATATTTTTAAACCATCAATTTAGATTCTTAATGTTAAGTAAAAATACACATACATTGTGAATAAAGGAAAACGGAATTATCAATGTGTTGGAAAAAAATTCTAAATTTTTTGTTCGCTTCGTTTATTAGACATTAAAAGAGATGAAATTCAAAATTTTTCAAACTAACTAGTAAATACATTAAAAAAATTTTATTGTAAATTTTACCTATTTCTGACGTTGAGTATTCCCTCCTAATGCATTGTGCATATTTCTCGTTGAATTAGGACTTACAGCTCTTTAGTCGATTAATTTCATGGTTTTCCACTTTTTTATTCAAATGTAGATTCAACTCACTGATATCATTAAACGTTTAGTCACCTTTATGATAAAGATTAAATTGTCTTGTTTTAAATAGATATAAAATATTTTGATCAAATTCTATCTCAATCTGATCAGCATCCGTCTGCTAGACTGAATTGTCTATAAATTGCTTTCTTCTCTGCTTTCTACTATAGTGTGTGATCATGTGATCTAAACACCGTGCTCTGATTGGACACACAAATGGCTGATCTATTTTCTAGATTCTGGGTTGGAACAATAGTCAATATGTCCTGAAATCTTCTAATGATGATA